GGTGCCGCGCCGATAAGCTTGCCGATACTTGCCAGCTTCTGGCCGTAAGCAGGGTCTGTTGCATAGCCGCTCTTGGCAATCTGTGCCACATTTGCGCCAAAATCATTACCACTGGACAAGAGCTGCTTATAGCGAGAATTCTTTTGCAGGAAATCGCCATAACCGGCAAAGCTTGCGTCCATATCAGGATAAGCGGCAAAATTGGCTTTTGTGTTCACCATGCGCCCATTCTGGAATTCTTGTGTATTCTGCGCCCGGCCGGCACCCTTAATCCCGAAAAAATTATTTTGGGGTGCTTTCTCCCCCCAAGCGCTCTCATGCGCCGCCTGAGCCAGTATCAGTTCCGGGCTTATCCCCAGCCTTTTTGCCTCGCGCTCAGCAAGGGGGCGCGCCGTTTCCAGCCATGCCTTCTGCTTACTTGTTAGCGCCATTGCCGCTCTCTCCGATAATCATCAACGGCGATGATAAACCGGAATGCAACTGTATTTGTAAAAAAATTGATTATTGACTTTTTGATTATTTTTTGATTATTTAAAGAAACTGGCTCTATATGGAGAGATAATATGGTGGAATTCATAATAGCCGCAGTTATTTATGGAGTTATCTTCCTTTTAATTGATATTTTGCGCAAAAAAATATTTAGCAAATAAAAAAGCCCCGCTTAATCGGCGGAGCTTTTTTTATTCTTGTTTTTACAATTTATCGGGCAACTCTCCCCGGTTGTTATTGTAGCCGTCTTTTATAATTTTACTTCTGCTTGCGTTTTCAGCCTTCAGTGTTTCAATAATACGCATAGCTTCATCTCTCTTACCGCTTTGAATTGCGGAGTTAAGCTGCTCAGCCCCGATAACAAACTTCTCCATATTTGAAGATTGCGACAAGGCCATATTGAGAGCGCTGGCAACCTGCTGTGCGCGGGTGCTCTTGCCTGTCCACAATGAGGCCGTTTTATCCCAAACAAGACCAGAAGCGCCAAAATCTTCCATATCGCTAAGTAAATCCTCTGCATGATTAAGCGCTTCGTCCGAAATTTTTATACCTTTGTATTCTTTGAATAAATCGCTTTTACTGCGAAATTTAGTGTCCCAATTACGGTCGGCAGGAGTATTTTGCGCCTCAAGAGAGTTTTTAACATCAGCCGTATTCCCCTGCCTGCTAGCCAGATAAGTATTGGCCCGGTCAGGCGTGAGGCTCATAACAAAAGCATCGCGAGCGGGCACACCGGCCGCTGTAAGCTGTTGCTCCAACGCCCGTTGCTGCGTTGAATAGGCGGCGGAACGCCCAAATCCGGCAAACGGATTCTCCAGAACGCTCGGGCTTATGCCTGCAAAAATGCCATTTGCGAGTGCTTGAAGCCTGTCCCATTTAGATGGAGCTTCGCCCATATTGCTGCCACTGAAGGCATCAGAACCGGCGCCGGTATTTACTGCACCCGTGTTGTCATTTTGCTTGTCATTATCGCTCATATCGGGAGACTCCTTTTGCTGTGCCGGCTGAATAGGGGCGATAATATTGCCGCTTCCGGCCGTTCCTGCCAGTATTGCGCCTATTTTTGTCCCTTTTTCTGCGAAACTTCTACCCGCTTCCTTTCTAATATCCGCGGCGCGCTCGGCGTCAATTACCCTTTCAGGCTTCAAACGACCGCGCGGAACTGCATTACCAGCCGCGCGGCCGACCGCACCGCCAAACTGGCTGCCAATATAACCGGCGCCCAAACCGGTCGCATTTGAGATTTTCTCTCCGAGCGGCGATGTTAATTTCCTCGCTAAAGCGCCAGCAATGCCACCACCCACAACCTTACCTACTGTTGCGCCCACTTCTCCCCAATCGCGCCGAATTAGTCCCTTGCCGATTTTCTGCGCTTGCACCATATCTGCCCCTTTCGGGATATTTTCACCCTTAGCCCAGTCCTCAGCCAGCCTATCCAGTGTTCCTTCTTTTTTTGCCTGCTCCAGATAATCAGCGATAACGCTCTCTTTCCGCTGGTAAAGCGGGTCAAGCACATATTTTTTGAAATCGGCGCTGTTGACATTTCTTTCAAAAAGGTGGCTTGCTCTTTTTTGTGTTGAAATATCAGCCATGTCTTTGGCCTGGGCGTCTATTTCTTTTTCCCTGTATTTTTTCAGCCCTGTCAGCCTGTCGCCGATATAAGAAGCCGTGCCTTCCTTTCCTGCCCCAACATTCCACAGCTTTGAGGCCTCGGCGGGGTTTAAAACCTTATCCTGCGCCATACCGCGCAAAACCACATTACCACGCCAAGGGGCAGCGTTTTCCTTCCAAACACTCCAATCAAGCTTGCCGTCAGCGCCTTTTGCCACCGCATTTGCAATATCGCCCTGCACAGGCGAATTTTTACGCGTTCCCGCATAATCGGATTGCGGCTTTGTGCGCAGAAAGGCGGAAACATCTTCGCCGCCCATGCGGCGCGGTTCAATCACCGGCTTTCCGTCTCTGGCCACTATGCGCATATTATACGGATCAATCCCTGTATATTCAGGCGGCATATTTGCTTCAATAAATTGCGCGGTTTTTTTGTTTCGCTCATAATCCTTAGTGATTTTGTCAATTTCGCCTTGGTGGTCTGCAATACGCTTATTGATGTCTGCTATTTTTGCGTCCCGCTCGGACAAGGCCTCTTTCATCGGTTCATCAAACCGATATTTACCGACTTGCCCTGTGGTTGCGTTTTTCTGCTCACGCAGAACCTTGTCTTTCGCCTTCCACTCGGCTTCAGCCGCCTTTATTTCCAAATTGCGCTGCGCAATCTGCTCTTGCAAACCATTTATGCGGGCTTCAACAGCTTTAGGTGGAGGAACAATGCCCGTCTTTTTGTTCGGCTGGCGGCTGGAATCTGCGGCCGCATGATTAGCAGTGCTTGCGTCATGAATCGGCTGTAAGCGGCTGTCCACTTTCTGGCTATTAAAGCGGCGCTTGAATTCTTCCCAGCTCTCAGGCTTTATCCCCGCCATATCGGGATTATCTTTTACTTCGCCGAATTTCTTGCCGGTC